TCTTCCAGTACAGCAGGAGAACTCTGGTCTCAGCCCCCTGTTCTCAGCTGTTGATGGACAGGCCGGTGGCAGAAAAATGGGTGGGAGGGTCTTCAGCATCGTACCAGTATGTGACATCATTTCCACCACAAAACCATCATACTGGGGCAATGCTCTAGGGTTCACCTGAATGAATATTAGAGTGTTGTTCCAATGCAATAATGTCACTTCCACTTTGTGCAGGAAGTGATGTCAGACTATGGTGTGCTGTCAAGGAACTCATCCCTGCCCCCGAATACTCCTACCAGAGTGTCAGCTATGGCTGCAACCCTGCAGCACCCAGGCCTATGTTTGTGATGGAAATACAGGCCTGCTGTGCTGATTTGGGGGGTAAAGTTGCCAGGTTATCCCTTGCCACCTGGAGATTTGGGGATGGAGCCTTGGGAGGACAGGGACCTCAGTGGGTACAATGCCACAGAGTCCACCCTTCAGGGCATCCATTTTCTCCAAGGGAACTGATCACTGCAGTCTGGAGATGAGCTGTAATTCTAGGAAATCCCCAGGTCCCACCTGGAGGCTGGCATCCCTATTGGGGAAGAGGACATTCAGTGACCACCCGTCCCAGTGCTGATTAGCACAGGAGAAGGAGGAGCTGAACTTAAAAGACACAATATATTTCCACCATTACTTGGGAGTAAGTCCCATCATTTATTCATTTATGTAGTACATCTTTACCCTGCCCTTCCATACAGGAGGTTATAGTGGACTATTTAACTCTCCCCTCTTTCATTTTATCCTCAAAAGATACAGAGAAGATTCATGTGACCCCAGAGTAAATTCATGTGGCACTCCATCTTTATTATGCTTTGGAGCCAAGTTCTCATTTTAAGCCTTGGCTGCACATCTGCCTGCAACTGGTATACAGCAACTGCAACTGGCTCAGCAGCTGGTTTCTTTATGTCAGTATGTAGATATTTATATGTCCCTGTTAGGATGTGTCCCAAATAGATTATGGATCTCTGCTTCAGAAGTAACAGCTGCAAAGCAAAACCATTGCATCAACCAAAATCTTGACTAATACAAAGGTACTCACAATTGAACATAAACTGATATAGGTGCATGTATTGCCATTTCCAGAATATCCTTTTAAACAGTTGCATGCTGCCTGCCAGGAACAGAAATAAATCAAGGTATGTAATAAGACTGAAAAAACGTTAATATCACCTCTTTTTTTTTTAAATGGCAATGCGTATATGAGTGGAAAAACATCATAAAGAATAATTCAGTCCATTCTGAGCTCATATCTTCTTTGTAACTTGCCTTAAGCATGTAATCTAGCAGTATCCTCTCCCTGCTAGTGCATTTCATAGCTTCCCCCCCCCTTAATAAAAACGAAATGTTGTAATGAAAATTTAATAACCTTTCCAGACAGGCATTCATTCATCATTCCAGTTTATCTTGGACAGCTCATCCGGAATGCAAATACCTGGGTACTCATGCAACTTTTAGTTGGCCTACCAAAATATGTCAGCATTTTCAAACATGAGCACTTTGCTTTAAGAAAGATTTTAGCCTTAATACTATATTTCTTTTCTTCCCTTTGTTCAGAGAACATAGTATGTCATAGGATTCCTCACAATACTTAAACAACCAACAACCAACAAAGGAAAAGTGCTATATAAGTGCTAAGTGTTCAAAGTGTTTCACATATTTCGCTAATTCTTGGGAGGCAAGATGAAGCCATTATTATACCACTATATTACAGACTGGAACCTGAGGCACAGCCTAAGCCTATCAAGAGAGTTTATGGCAGAACTAAGGTTTGAACTGGTGGCTTATTATTGCTACTAATTAGTAATCATGCGACACCACACCAGACACCACCAAAATATTGCAGTTAAAACAGAATAATCAGGAAGGGCTCATAGCTCAATAGAAGAGCTCATACTTTGAATTCATAAGGCTCAGTCCCTGGCATCTCCAGTTAAAGGAAGTTCAGCAGAACTGTTACATACATCAGCCTTGAAGAGGTGACAGTTCTGGGCTGAACAGACCAATGTTCTGATTCAATATACAGCAGTTTTCATTTGATTGATTGCTATCTTTAGCCTATGAATCATCACTGAATATTTATTGCATTCACATCTGGCCTTTCTTCAACCATGCAGTTCATGGAAACAAGCATGGGTACCAGGAGGTCTCCGGTGCAGTCACTAATCCAACCTAGACCTGCTTAGCTTTAGCAAGGAGCGTTGCCTCACATGCCTCTCCTACTTTTCCATTCCCTGTACGGCCAGACACTGGTATACAGAATAGAAGAGTCTTCAACAAACAAAACAAACACAGTTTACACCACAGTGTGTTAATGCATACAATCCATTTCCCTGGGACCAGTGAATGCCTGCCATACAAGGGCCCCGGGCATACGGGCCGGCTGAAACGCGGCTTCTCCGAGCCGCTCCAAACTTGCTACGCCGCGGTGGGATCCCACGGATCCCCTAGCCGCGGCGCAGCACTCCCCGGCACGCTCAGATGCCGGGGAGGAAAAGTCCGAGGGGAGGGGGGAGGCTGCCGAACTGCGCATGCTCGGGCATGCGCAGTACGGCTGGGGGCCGGGATGCGGCGGCGCAAGGACGCGCCGCCGATCCCACAGCCCTGCCTGCGCCGCACCAATGGATGCAACCACGCCTGTTTGCTCCGCCCCGGTTCCGTCCCACTCCCGGCCCAAATGGGCTCGTATGGACGGGGCCTTAGTAACACAAGATGCATTGTTGAAATTGCTTACCTGATTGGGTCCGATATGAGTGCATTCAGCATTTTTGTCGCATCCGCCATTATTTGTTATGCAGGGGTTAATTTCTTTATGAGATCAAACAAGAAAAGCAGAAAAAGATGAGTACTCTTCCATTTCTCATGAGACTGCATTTAAGGGATCCTAGAAATGCAAGCTACTTATTCCAATCATTCTCATCATTACCCTCTGGGTGCGTTCAGACGGGGCATTTATGCCGGTATAGATGCCGGTTGGAATCGGTGTACTTATGGGCGATCACACGGCGAACATCTGCCTTCCATCCCTAGCCGTTGCAAACAGCCTTTAACCGTTGTATTCTGCTACTAGGTCCCCAAGTGGTGGTATCCTGAGTGCACTGGTTCCAACCGCAGTATCCCCATCTGATCACTCTCCGTCGGTGTAGAGCCACTTCCATTCGGAAGCCTGAGGCTTCCGCTTTTCGGCCGCCATTTTTTTTAGTATGCGATGTGCGCTTGGGCGAAGCTTCGCCCCATCGTTAATATATATATTTTTTAAAGGTGCCTAGCGTAAGGCTTTAAACGAGTCCGGGACCTCACGGAGGCCATTTTCAGAGTAAAAATTTAAAGGGACGTCTTCGCTTCAAGGCATGCTTTAGGGGTTGGGTTGTTCTGCGCCTGCACAAAGATCTTCATTATAAGGAAGCCTGCCTATGCGCATGCGCAAACTGTGTAAAAAAACCCCAAATCAGCCAATGTGCTCTGCTGAGCGCCTGAAGTGTGGACGGGCATATCGCGATGTGCTGCGCAGTCAGGAGGTAAGTGTGATTGCGTTTCTTCCAGATCAAACTGCTCCGGTTCCAACCAGAGCAGTTTATGCCGGCTAAAATGCCCCGTCTGAATGCACCCTCTATGTCTTTTAAGCTCATTTCCTTGGTATCACCAAGACAGAGACATATCTATAACCAGGGCTATTTTTGGGCAGGAACACACAGGAACGGAGTTTTGGCTGGCTTCAGAGTTGGCCACGCCCACTACAGCCAAAATCTCTGTGTGCATGGCTACAGAGGGAAGGCCTGGAGAGCGACCCCCCCCAGCAAATCCAAGGTGGGTTGGCCAGGGGGCCTCCTGGAAGGATCTGTCCAAGGGCTCCTCGCAGGACAGATCCTTCCAAGGGAAGGCATGTGGTGTGGCCTAATATGCTAATGAGCTGTGCTGTCAGGGGTGTGACCTAATATGCTAATGTGTTTCTGCTGTTGGGTGTGGCCTGTTATGCTAATGAGTTCCTGCTGGGCTTTAAAACCCCTGATATCTACTATATATAGTAGCCAGTGCTGGCAGTACTGTACCCTTTCCTTTCCTTGAATAATGTCAAGGAACTATAACAATCTTCTCAGATCTTTTCCTTGATATGCAGAGATTTTGACACAGATGGGGGAGAACTTTGAAACAAATTACACTTTATCAGTATGCGTCACTTTCACCTTATAAAGAAGAGGAAGAGGAGGAAGAGATTGGATTTATATCCTGCCCTTCACTACCTGAAAGAGTCTCAGAGTGGCTTATAATCTCCTTTCCCTTCTTCTCCCCACAACAGACACCCTGTGAGGTAGGTGGGGCTGAGAGAGCTCTTTTGAGAACTGCCCTTGAGAGAACAGCTCTGAGAGAACTGTGGCTGACCCAAGGTCACGCCAGCAGCTACATGTGGAGGAGTGGGGAATCAAACCTGGTTCTCCCAAATTAGAGTCCGTGCACCTGACCACTACACCAAACTGGCCAAATATCTGAATCACCTCCAAGGCCAGATCAACAACATGCACCAGTATCCCCAATGGATAACTTCCCAGGCTGGTTCAGAAATTTTGCATCTCCAGGCAATCCTCAATGAGTTTACCCCATATTGTATTAATGTGCACAATACATCCATGGAATAGACTGTATTTTAATAAGCACTCTTAGTTTGATCAAAGATGTGTACATACACAGTGGATACTTACCAAGACAGACTATTCCATCTCCAGTGTAACCTGTTTTGCAAGCACACACTCGATTTCCTGGAGTGGTCCGTCTACATTCTGCTTCAGGGGAACAACCTCCATTGCTGATTTCACATCCATCAATGGCTGTAAAAGGACACACAATGTAAAACTACAAGCTGGTGTTCTTTGAGGAATCAAGTGAGAGGGGGACTAATAATAATTAATAATGAGCATATGGCAGTGTGTGTAGTATAGCCAGGAGATCCCAAAATTGTCTGGCAACTTGAAGTTCTAGCTTTGTTAGCGTTATATACCGCCAGGGGGTGAGCTAGACTTGTTTTTAAGGCAAAAGAGGTTTCAGAGGTGGTTTGCCATTGTCTGCCCCTGCATCACAGTCCTGGTATTCCTTGGAGGTCACCCATCCAAATACTAGTCAGGGCCGACCCTGCTTAGCTTCTGAGATGTGATGGGATCAGGCTAGTCTGGGCTATGCAGGTCTGGAAGAGGGGGGGCTAATCCAATCTCACCTCCCCCAAATCTTCCTCTACCAGGCTTCTGGTCTTTCATGGGCTTGACAGGATAAATTCTCCTACCCTCCCTTTTCTCCTTTAACTAATACTTGGCTCTATCTCATCTGCAGCAATTTCATTCCTCATCAGGATTTCCCCACCCTTTCCCCATGGGTTAATTTACATGGATACGTGGTGGTTTTTTTTTGCTGCATACCCAAGCAGTTTCCCCAAGTAGGAAGAATTCCCTACATTGTCTGTGGGTGTATGGCTTTTCTTAGCCCCCAGAGGAAGGCTAATTTATTGCTAGCTATAGTCATGGCTGCAGTCTTCAGAGGGCCAAATACCAAATACATCTGACAGAAAAATGCAGCTCAAGCACTCTGGCAAACATGTTTCCAAACATATACATATGAAGCTGCATTTTACTAAATCAGGCCATTGGTCCATCAGGGTCAGTACTGTCTATTCAGACTGGCAGCAGCTCTACAGGGCCTCAGGCAGAGGTCTTTCACATCACCTACTGCCTGACTCTTTTAGCTGGAGATACCTGGGATTGACCTGGGACCAGGGCCAGCCCGAGGTTTTTTTGCACCCTAGGCGGGGCTACCTTCTGGTGCCCCCCGCGCACCCAATTATGGGGTTGCCAACCTCAAGGCGGAGCCTGAAGAGAAGGAAGTCCTACTTCTCTCCCCCTTTAGGCGAGCGAGGAGGCGGCGGCGAGGTTTCCAGGCACCCAAACAAAAACACCCCACATTTGGATTTACAAAAGCCGACCCCGGGTGGAGGGGGAAGGCGAGGCGGCCTTGCACTCCCCTTTCGCGCGCCCCATGCCACGTGGCTGGGAGCAGCAATAGCACACAGGCTTTTGGTGGGGGGAGGCACAGTTCGGCACCCCATCCAGGGCCCAGCGCTCTAGGCGAATGCCTAGTTCGCCTAGTGGGTGAGCCGGCCCTGCCTGGGACCTTCAGCATGCCAAGCAGACGCTCTGCCACTGAACCACCCCACCCCACTCCCCAGTATGGATTTGTATGCACACATTTGCAAACATCTAAGTGCAGGCAATGCCTCTTAAACTTTCTGAAAGACAGATTACGGGCAGAATCCAAATCTGGCCCATGCACAAACCCAACTGTGCACAATATGCTAGATCTCAAAAGGTCTTTGCTTCCTTTTCCTGTAAATTTGCATTTTAAAAAACAAACTGTTCATTGTAAATGCATTTGGAATTATTCCTTTTCTCAAATTAACACATGAAAACGTCGTGCCTCCCTCCCCAAACTGAAAAATATTAGTGACAGTGAACAGTCTTTTGAACAGAAGTAAATCCACTTGCCTGTACAATGTGTCCCGTTCCCTTTAAACCCAGCTGCACATTTGCAGTATGATGTCCCTTTAGGATTAAGAAGGCAGCTAAAATGGGAAAAAAGGGTCACTGATACTCAGAAAGGAAGACTTAATCTGCAGCATTACCAGCAGTCTTTCATGCCTCGTCATTCTGAAGAGTTAATGAACATGCAAAACAGATATGAAATTGATAATACTAATTTTTAAAATGCCAGCTTTTCTTAAATGGTCATTCTAAGGGCCCAAAATGTATGATCAAATATTCTGCCTTGATTGATAAACATTTTAGTTTGCTATGTGATAAAGGTAAGATAAAATATATATTTATTTACTTTAAAATGTATATACCACCTTTCTAGAGACCCACTCAAGGTGGCTCATAAAGCAAAACAATACAATAAACCATTAACAGCACAAATATTCATGCACAATAAAAGCAAGCCATTAAAAGAATCATAATACAATAACCTAAAAATGATATTCATAAGACAGTTGGCAGGCTAGGAACTGACCATAAAAGACTAAAAATATGTAACGCCTCCAGTTAAAAACGTGGGTAAAAGGAAATGTTTTGGCCTGGTACCAAAAAGAGGGTATGGTAGGTCTCAGGCAAATCCCAAGCAGGCGAGCATTTCGAAGCAAGGGGCCACCACTGATAAAAGCTAGCTCTCTCTCTCTCTCTCTCTCTCTCTCTCTCTCTCTCTCTCTCTGCTTGCCATCTGCTTCATATTGGCAGGCTGTGGCACAGAGAGCCAGGCTTACAGTATGGGAAATAGCCCCGGAGAAGACTCTCCTGTCTGTTAAGTAGAGTTGTGTGGAAATGGGCATTTGAAGTCTTTCATGGCATGGAGGTAAATAAGGCAACCTAGAGAGACAGTGTGGTGTTGTGGTTAAGGCTATCACACTAGTATCTGGGAGACCTGGGTTTGAATGCCCATGCCTGCCATGGAAGCTTGCTGGGTGAAGCAAGCTCTTTCAGCTCAGCCTTCCTCAAAGAGTTGTCATGAGGATAAAATGGAAGAGGGGAGAATGATGTAAGCTGCTTTGGTTCACCATTGGGGAGAAAGGCAAGGTACAAATGAATTTCAGCCCATTAAGCTTCTATTAACAGGACAAGGCATTTTTCTCCAGACCTGCTGACAATCTTTCAAATACCTCAACACCAAGCTAATTAGGGCCTTAAAAGTAAGAATCAGCACTTCATTTTTAAACAAATAAAGATTACTTCTGAAGGAAATAACGAAGATTCTAGTGGTATGACTTGCTACTTTTTAAAAGGCAAACAATTGGGGGCCACCAAGATATGTATGTGCACCAGATACTATGAAGTGACTGTGAAACTGCATTGACCTTTGTGATTTTTTTCCTTCTTGGATTTAATATCTGGTAGATATGCCCTCCCCCCCCACATACGGAAAGGCATATTTGTCTTGGCGATGGGAGGGGAGATGGAATTCTCCCCCGCAAGTCCCATGAGCCCCCCCCCCACTTGTCAATATATCTATATCCACACCATAGAGGATATGATCGATAGAGCCAAAAATGGAACTTGGGACAAACCAAGGGGATTTCTCTACAAACTGGAAGGAAGTCACAGAGTTGCAGAAAAATCTGATATCTTAAAAAATAAATTGGGGAAATAAAACTACCGAAAATAATAGAAACAAGTCCTATCAGTGGCTAGTGGGGGTTGTGAGGCAACCGCAGCAATATTGCCAAGCCTTTATTTCTGTAAAGTAAAGCCGGGGAGGGGGACTGGACTGGGAGGCAGAAACAGCCCTGGAAAAGGTCCTAGAAGAAGCTCCATCATGTCCCCTGATAGAAGTGGACTTTCTAGGGTCAGGTCCAACTGCATCTACCAGAAACTCATGGAACTGGACTATATGAGTCCCTGATACCTCATTAGACATGTTATGAATGACACTTGATGTTACAGAAGAGGGAGTCCTGCAAGGATAAACAGGGAAGGGGAATCCCATTCTCTCCTGTTCATTTTTTGCTCTTCAGCCCCCCCATTGTGTGTGCTTCCCCATCCCCTGCTTTTCTCCACTGGCTATTTTTTTTCTCCTTCCCAGTCCCCATCCTCTCCCTACCTGCAGTCATTATAGGGTTAATGTGTGTTTACCTTGTGTGCTATTGTTTAGATTGACCTGGAAGCAGGGGTCATTTCGTAGAAAAAGAGTTAGGGGAACTCATTAGCATAACTCATTAGCATATGCCACACACCCTGACATCACCAGAAGTGTGTCATAAGGCCACACCCCCTGACATCACCGGAAATGTGTCATAAGGCCATACACCCCGCCCCCAACGGTCCCGGTCGCCACCACCGGCCTTGCAGCTTCACTGCCGAGCCCCATGAGGGGCCCGGCGGTGGACCTGCAAGGCCGGCGGGAGTGCAAGGAAGCTCCGCGAAGGCCCTCCCTGGCCCCAGGCAGGCAGGGGTGGGGAGAGGCGGGGAGGAAGCAACTTACCCTCCCTCTTCTCCTGCCTCCTCCTTGCTGAATGAGGGCCGGAAGCGGGGCGGCCGGAAGCAGGGGGTGGGGCTTCATCATGTGCCCCGCCCACCGTACCTCACCCGGGGGAACTGCGATCCCCCACGATCCCCCCCAAAATGACCTCTGCCTGGAAGGAAACCTGGCACAGAGTCAATGGGAAGAAAGCCTGGGAAAGTTATTTACTAACAATCATTGGTTAATGCATTCTGGTGATTTCCTTCTAGGGGTCAAGAAGAAAGGAAGAATCTCCACTGTTGTAGATCATGTGGTCAAAGTGTAAAGATGTAGTCTTAGGTGTCTTTATTGTTTTGTAGATTTCCTGTGAACCCTTCCCTTAGACATAAAGATTTTTACATAGAAGAAAATGCCTCCTCTCCAGTGAAGCAAAGATCCATTGCAAGCTCTGAATATTTAACTATTTTGCCAATTTCCCCAACACTTTGTACCTGGCCAAATTATTACTAAACCCCTTTCAGCACAGGGGAAGTAGCATGCAGGCACTGGAAACCAGCTGACACTGGGTGTTGCTTCATTTTCTTAATGTGGTAACCATAACGACTATATTTTCACACATCAAAGTTTGCCACCCAATTATTTTTTGCCAATGTGTGCACATGGGCAGACATTGCTGCTACCTTTTTTTGGGGTGGGGGGAGTTAACCCTCAACTGTTCAGTTAAAAAGTCATTTGGTATTTTTCTGCATACCTGGGGTTCCTTGCATCGCCCAGCTTTGTTGATTTTTTGATTCACAAGAACAGATCACCCATGACTACTACCGTAGATACCAAAAAGAAGACTCTCTAAAAGGAACTTTATATTTAAGCTAGGATAGTAAACCCTAGGATAGGGTGTTTTTTAAAAAGACAAACGATAGCTGCTCATGTAATCTTTGTCAAACCTTGGAAGAAAATTTTTCTCCCAGGTGAAAAATGGTGGTTTTGCATGATCAAATACACGGTGTATTTAAAAAGAAAGCCCTTAAATAAATATTGATGTTTGGAGACAAATGGCGTACATGAAATGCTTGAAGGTAGTGATTAAGTTAATTATTCATATTCTGCTTGTCTCACTGAAACTGTCAGCTATAATACCATATCTCACTGAATTTTCTGTTGGGTATATTTTCTGTGTGTCAAATAAAACTTAAAAAGGAAAAAAGACTGTTAGGTATGCTAGAGCACCTGGTGCCCATAAGGTTCAGAGAAACTATATAGATCCCCAAGCCAACTGTTACTAATCGAGGTGGGGTAGCTGAGTTGGTGAATAAACCACCTTAGTTGGTCTTAAAGGTGCCACTGGACTCAAACTTTGATCTGTTACTAATCCATATGGACTAACTGTGGGATCAGGGTGGGTGGTATAGTTCTAGCCAGTGAGTAATGCAAAATTCCCATGAGAGCTGGTGCTTCTTTTTTGGGATGCCCTCTGCTTCAAAAATAGTGCTGTAGTCAGTGAGGCAAAGTTAACTTCTATTAACTGGTCTGATGTCATACATACTTTGCACTGGTGTGGCAAGTTTTGTTGCAGTTGTCATCTTTGGCTTCTGGGGATGCAAAAAAGGAAGAAAAAGCTTTTCTTATGGTACAATCACAAAATGAGAACTCCCCCCTTTCCCTTCAACTCTATCTGCCTAAAAACTGATATATGGATACTGCAGAATCACATGATTCAGATGTTCATAGATGGTCTTCCCTAATCTGGAAAATCTTCCTGCACACGGTACAAAAATCAAGCCTACAACTCTTTCCTAGACAGTTCTTTTTAAAAAAAGAATGAAATAATTCAATCACAAAATTGGAATTGTATCTTTAGACCTGCGTTGAGGACAGCCACACTTACCGGTATCGCATTTCACACCTCTCCAGCCAACGTCACATTCACAAGAGCCATCCCCTTTTATGCCACTGTTGCATTTCCCATGGATACAGATACACTCTAAATGCAAAGAGGTGGAAGGCTTCAAAATCTCACTTGATAGTAAATCTCACTTGCTATTCATGGCTACATTAATAGATCATATTCGGGCCTCGCCATCTGAGCCGGGGTGGGGTGGAGGAGACCGAGGGAAGGGGGGGAAAGGAAATCGGCGAGGCCTGGCGGCTGGCAGCCGCTCAGGCCTCACCGTCAGAGCGGGGTGGTGGTGGAGGAGACCAGGGGAGCCTTACCTGCTGCTGCCTCCTCCTCCTGCTCTGTATGGAGCTCTTTCTCTCCCCCCCGCAAGTATCGCGGGTCCCCTTACTTGTTATATCTTTTTTCCCAAGAAGAATAATGTGCCATTGACTCAGGGTGCCCCCATTCATAGGGCATTCCATGCAAGAGACAAACAGAGGTAGTTTGCCATTGAGGAATTTCAGACAGACGATATAATCCGGAAGAGGAACGGTTCCCAAACGGTTTCTGGTCTGTCATTTCAGACAGAACCGTTTTAGAACCGGTTCCCTACTGGAATATATTTGTAATTTCACACACAAATGCATTTGCCATTGAGGAATTTCAGACAGACGATATAATCCGGAAGAGGAACGGTTCCCAAACGGTTTCTGGTCTGTCATTTCAGACAGAACCGTTTTAGAACCGGTTCCCTACTGGAATATATTTGTAATTTCACACACAAATGCACCCAGTTCTGATGCGCTTTTCCCCGCCGTTTTTTGCCCACGCGGGTGATCTCCGGCATTTTTTTAACATTCGCTTTATAGCGCTATAGTGCTATAATGCAACAGCATTATATCAACCCCATTGGAATGCCTGGAGTGTTGTGTTATAGCACTATACCGCTATAGCGCTCTAAAGCGAACGTTAAAAAAAAAGCTGGAGATCGCCCACGCGGGTGGAAAACGGCGGGGGAGAAGCAGTGCAGTCTGAAATGACAAAACGGCTTCAAAAGGGTAATGTGAAATTCCTCATTATTTTTCTCTGTGCCATAACACCAGTCTTCCTGGGTGATCTCCCATCCAAGTACTAACCGTGGCCTAGCCTGCTTAGCTTCCAGGTTTTGATGAGCTCGGGCTAAGCTGGGCTACTTGGATTTCCCAAAGCAAGGAGTAAAAACAAAGAGATATCTTCGTTATAAACCATGGAAGA